GTGTGTTAAACTCTTTAAATATTATTTGTATTATTTTTTTATTCATTTTCCCTCTAATATTACTACTATTTTTATTGTGAAAATTATTACTAGTGTATGCAATGTGAGAATCAAATTTAATCCGCAAATTCAGATGGTTAGTATCGTTTTCGAGATTAAAAGTTATTTGAGAGTTAATTCTCGCAGTAAGTGACCGTCTTGTGTTCAGATCTCAAATGTTGGCGTTAACCATCACTTAGCGATCCGAAATGTGCAAGCGTCAGATAATGGACGCTTTACAGCGCAAGCGATGAACGCCGCGGGTACTAAGCAATCTACTTGCATGCTGATCGTAGCGCCGGCGCCAACGCCCATTCCAGGCACGAAAAGTATCGTGTCTGTTCCGTCAGTTTTCTATTTTCTCTTTACCTTTGACCCTTTTCTAACAATTGTCTAGGCCCAGTACTACTAACTGATTAGCAATCACGCAATCATTTCTTGACATGCAATAGTCTTACTTATTTTATCACCTTGTTGAAACTACTGAAGTCAAATTCTAGCATCATACTTATTGATAAAGCAAAAATTGGAATTCAAACTAATTAGTAAGTTTCTTCTGAAAGTTCAGGAAATAAATGCATGCCATAACTTTCAGAAAAAACTGTATTTTCATGTAGCTATTCTTTCTCTACTCTACTTAATTGGAATATTTTGTTGAAAACTTCCCTCCAGATCATCTGATTTTCGACCTCAAGGTTAAAGGCTAAGATTATGCGATAAAACCCGTATCATTAAAGTTGTTTAACAAATGAATTATTATTGTCCCTTGGAACCTAAATCGCAGAGAAGTCAGCGATTGATAGATAAGCAAATATCTAGCTGTAGAACGCAAGTTGAGCCAATTTAATTTGCACGTTTTAACTAAAAATGGTATGAAAAACAAAATTTGAAAATAGTTGAATAAAAGAACACTTTTATTGAAATTGCAGAAATTCACCGGTGCCACCACAAACGCCAGTAGGACCATCAGCGCCAATTTTCCTCAAGGAATTGAGAAACCTGCCGTTGAAACTTGGCACGCAAATTATTCTTGAAGCTCGAGTTGTCGGCAGTCCAGAACCTCATGTAGAATGGTTGAAGAATAAATTACCGCTTAAAAATTATAGGTTTGTTCAGTTTTTTTTTACTTTTCA